CAGGCAGCCGAGGCCATGAAAGGTAAGGAAAGGTCCAGCTCAAAGGGGCAGGACCCAGGGCTGGGATTAGGGTGGAGGACTCAGCAGCTGATGGAGGAGGTGGGTTGAATCAGAAATGAGTCTGGTTGCAGGTTTAACCTGCCTTGCTTCCTGTTTTTTCTAGGGACAGAGTGGGTTGACCCAGAGGACCCCACTGTCATCGCTGAGAACGAGCTGCTGGGGGCAGCGGCTGCCATTGAGGCTGCAGCCAAGAAGCTGGAGCAGCTGAAACCAAGAGCGAAGCCCAAGGTAGCGGTGCTGAGCCTTGGCTGACCCTCGTGCTCAGCTTGGGGTGGGCTGGGGTCCTCCTGCCTGTGCTTCAGCCAGCTGTGAAGTCCCATCTGACAGCCAGTCGTTCTTTCTGTGCTCCCACTGCCTCCCACATCCTCAGCTGGACCTTCCTTGGGCAGCCTCCACCCTCCTGCACCCCACAGCCCTTAATCCAGCTCCGTATGTGCCAGCTCACCCCCCTGCAGCCATCATCCTGCTCTGCTCTGTCTGTCCCAGCACCCCTGCCTGGGACTCACACCCCACTTTTGCCCGCAGCAAGCAGACGAGAGCCTGAACTTCGAGGAGCAGATCCTGGAAGCTGCCAAATCCATTGCTGCAGCCACGAGCGCCCTGGTGAAGGCAGCCTCAGCGGCCCAGCGAGAATTAGTGGCCCAAGGGAAGGTAAGGCTGGAAGAGGGAAAGAAATAAGAAAACGGTAGGACTGTGGTGGGTCCTCCCTTCTCCTGGGGCTGCTTGCAGTCCTTGTGCCTCGTGGCAAGGGATGCACGGGGCAGTGAGCCTCATTCCTTCCTCTCCTTCCTCGCAGGTGGGTGCCATCCCCGCCAACGCAGTGGATGATGGACAGTGGTCCCAGGGACTCATTTCAGCCGTGAGTATCAAGGTCATGTTCAGGGGATGTCGGGGACCCTCCTCTTGACTCCTGCTGCAAAACTGAAGACACTCTGCCCTTGTACTTCTCCTCAGTGGAAGAAGCAGCTATGCTTCTTGCTCCTTCTCCCACCAGCTGAGACATGCCATGGAAGCTGGTTGTCACCATCCCATGCCCCACAACCTCCTTGGAGCTGGTTAGGGCATACCCTCCCTGGGGCAGGCTCCCGTACCCCCCCCTTACAGCCTCTCTTTCCACAGGCACGCATGGTGGCTGCTGCCACCAACAACCTGTGCGAAGCCGCAAACACCCTGGCGAACGCCGCCAATGCAGCAGTGCAGGGCCATGCCAGCGAAGAGAAGCTTATCTCGTCTGCCAAGCAGGTGGCTGCCTCCACGGCACAGCTCCTGGTGGCCTGCAAGGTGAAGGCTGACCATGACTCAGAGGCCATGAAGCGGCTCCAGGTGAGTCCCAGGCTGCTCCTCTAGCCCCAGCTGCCTTCTCCCAACTGCTCAAGGGGTGGTTGGGAGTGCGGTGAGGACACGTGGGTGCTCCCCAGGGCTCACGCTCCCTGCCTGCATGCCATCGGCAGGGAGAGAGCTCATTGGAGCACAGGCTGCAGGTCACTTGGACTTCACTGCTAGCTGTGTGCCAGGCTATGATGCTGGTCTGC